CTGCTCATGGCAGGGAGGGGGGAACTAGGTGATCTTTAAGGTCCCTTCCAATCCAAGCCATTCTATGATTCTATGCAGGGGAAGTTTCACTTAACTCTGCTTCCAACTCTATGCATTCATCAAGCTGGCCTGAGGTGTGAGGAATTAATGGCACTTCTGTATGCAAGCCTGCACAGCTTGTAGGCAACCTGAGAATAGATGGAGCAGTTCTAGCCTCTGAAGTCCTCTAAAACCTGTGATAAACATAGAAAAGTCTAGCAACAAGAGAACAGTGCAAAGGAAGCAACACCATTGTTGTAGGCTGTAAACAGGCACATGTAGTATAAGCTACACCATGTGCATTGCTGGTTTAACAAGTGATTCTAGGAACCTATTAACTCCCTAACTCAGAGGCCAGTGATGTTTGATGTCCAATGCTAAAATCACCCATGCCTTTGCAACACAGGAAGCAGCTATAGAACAGGCTTTATCCCCCAAGAACTCAGATTCAGGTGTGGTTGAACAACTTAGTCATGCACTTCAGAGGGACTCGCAAAAAATGAAGAGCAGTGAGCATGAAGGCTCTGCTGTCAGCACCTGGCTACTTAGATCTCCATGTCAGAATGCCCAAAATGGATCACGTTTTCCTATCTTTGAGAATACTGATGGAGCTTTTTTCTTCAAACACAGTAACCATTTTGTCTTCAGAAGTCAGACTCTTTCTTAATCATAGTTTGCCTTTCCTCGCAGCAGACATCAAAAGAAACCCCAGGACCATTGCAATGAAAGTTTTCTTTCCCACTCGACACCAAAATTTAAGGAATGATATCTGGATGCTAAGGAGAATGCTAGGCATTAGGCACCATGCAGCAACATATCCTGCAGGTCACTCTGAGCTCCAGCAACACATAGTCTTCCTCTGGGTATATTAAGAGCTGGACATGCCATCAGCAAGTAATGCAGAGGGTGCAGCAAAGGCAACCAGGCAACAGACATACTTCCCTAACCTCACCCTCACCAGGAAAATCCTCCAAACCATTTAACTGGCTGTTAGTTTAACTCCAAACTCACCTCTGAGCAATGACCAACGCAGGAGCATCCCAGGAGACTCTGTGACTCAGAACCACTCTTGTAATCCAGTTTCTCTCACACTTGTTCCTCCAGAAAACCACCTGTTACTACCAGCAGTAAATTATCTGTGTTGCTACACACCCTCCAGGGAACTATTCAGACCCCTGAATCAAGGGGTGGGACCACAATTCTTTTCAATGCTTCCCTACTGTGTTATGAGAGTATCTGGGCAAACAGGTTCCCTTTGCACAACATAACTCAACCGGAATTATTCCCTCTCAATGTTCCTCAAAATTAAGCAAAATTACTCTTTTAAGGATCTATACTAATAAACTGATTAAGCTAAACACTTTGGGTTTAGACTCATTAATGGGTAATGATAAAGAATTAATGACTAATTCAAGGCTAAGTTTCTAGAGGAAAACTTTTAGAAGTGCAAGCCCAGGGCCACTAGTCTTGCTCACAGAAGGTCAGTTCCTACTACTCACGCATAGTAACATCCCTACGGGTAGGCACGATCACTTCTCCATACCTCGTCTTTACTTTCCTGAGAACCACCAAAACATGCTTGCCTGACTGGGGATCCATGTTCTGAAATCCTCTGGCCATACTGAGATCACTGGCTGACAAAATTTAGAGGTGTCCTTAATGCTACAATCATCACTAACAGGCCATTTTCCTGTTCTTTAGGAGGAAACCCAGAGCTGGGAGAAGGTAAAAGAGGAGTGATAGTTTGCTGTAGGATCAAGCTCTGTCTCAGATTGGACCATAACATTGGACAAGGCTGTGTCAACTGAAACAAGCCACTCCAGGGTGGCCGTTCCTTTGCTAACTACAGAATAGGGACAGTAGAAGAAGGAGCACAGCAGATGTTCAAGCCAGCTGGGCCTAAGTATGATCAGGTGCTTGTGCAACCCACTCCTGCAGCACTAGATTCCAGTTAATAAATTCTGTCAAGAAGCATCTCAGAGGCCAGGCCAAATAAAAAAGGCTATCCCACAGAGGAAGCCTGGTAGGGAAGTGCATGCAGCCCTACACCATGTCATGCAGACACAGGACTGAGCCATTACTAACTGAAATATTATAGCTGTGTTATGCAGAAAAAAAAAAAAAAGCTTTTTATAATTAAGAAGGGTTTCACTGCTAGTCAATGGAAATTCACTGCAGGGGTAAGGTACCTTAGGTTTATACATTTAGTGGATGGAGCCCGGAACACAGGAAATGGTGTCTGACTATTCATGATTTATGTCCTGTTAATGCTTTACATCTGAATCATTTTACCCAAAGGCAGTATTATTTTTTTCACATGCTTTTCTTCAAATTATTCCCAGGCTGAACATTTCTTATTTCAATTTATACCTGCTGTTCCTTATCCTCTCACCAGTTACCACTGTGAAAAGCCTGGCTTTGTCTTGTTGAAGACTCCCTCATAGGTCCTGGCAGGCTGCTATCGGGTCCATCTGAAGACACCTCTTCTCCTGGTTGAATAAATCCACTTCCTTTAGGTCCTCCTCACATGGCTCTGACTCCAACCGTCTTGGAGGCCCTCAGCTGAACTTGGCTCCAATTTTTCAATGCCTTTTCTGGAGAGGCTCAAAAGGACACAGTGTCTAGATGTAGTCTAACCAGGTGCTGAGCAGAAGCATAATCCCCTCCCACAAGCTCCTGGCACAGTCAGGATGCTGTTACCTTCTTTGATGCCACAGCAACATGCTGTCTGCCAGGAGTCTCCAGAACCTTTGCAGTAAAGCCAGTAACCCCCAGTGTGTATTTATGCAAGGGCTTGGCATTCCCAGGTGACGGAAACTTTTCATTTGTCCTTGCTGAATTTCCTAAGGTTCCTCTTGGCCCATTCCTCCAGCCTGCCTAGGTTCTTCTGTATAATAGTACTATCTCCAATTTGTTGTCATCTGCAAACCTGAGGAAAGCAGACTTCATCACCTCCTCGAGGTAATTGGTAAAGATGTTGAACAGGACAGTTCCAGTACCTAGATCCCTGTGCCACTCTGCTAGGTAAACAGGTAAATGTTCTCTGGGTAGAGAACAACTCATTTAACCATTCTCCTCTGAGCCCAATCATCCAATTAATTTTTACCCATACAGACCATAACATCCTAACTTGGATGCCAGCATGTTGCTGGAAACAGTGTCAAAAAC